AAAAAATCCTGGAAAATAATAACTGTGCTTCTTCTACCCCAGTATTTTTATTTCATCGCCCTGTTTCAATCCGTGCTCTGTCACTAATGCGGGGAACTTCAGATCGGTCTGTTCTAACACCATCTCTGCCTCCATGTGGAGAAAAAAAAGTTGGCTGCAGACTTTCAGATCTACACTGTTCATTATAAGAAAGGAGAAAGCAGGCACTGTTTATGTGAGCGTCAATGGTCCGAGTGAGAACAGTGTAATTTTGGAGGAGCACAAGAGAACGCTACATAAATACTTGTGTTAGGCAACATTTTGCATAATTAATGCGCTATTTTTAACAGTTATCATTAACAATATTCGACCATAATAGCCGATGCTGAAAGCACTGACATGATAAGGCAAGCGGAGAGTTATTAAAGAGTAAAAGCTTTCTGTTCTAAAGTTTAAGCTTAGAGACTTTTCTGACACTTGCTGAAAGAATCACATGAACTGCTACAAATAAGATTGATGCGGTTGAAACCCTGAACTCAGTAATATGTTATCTGTTCTACTGCATCCTGGCTGCTGGAGAGGAAGGGTGAAAGTCACACAGTTAACGCTGACCTTGTTCTTGGGCAGTAAATCCTAATATTATTCTTTTTCCTCACCAAAGCAGAAACACATTCTATCATACCGATGCCGACAACTCTTCCAAAATAAGGTCTAACCCAAGAGTCGGACATAAAAGTCAAAGAAGATCTGCTTAAGATCAAGCACAGCCGATGGCATGCGGGGTGCACGGATAAACAACTCTGAGACCAGAGCTTGCATTAACAATGGAAAACTTGGCAGCAGTCTGAATAACTGATTTATTCAAACTGCTGTATAAGGAAACATTTACACTAGTCTGACACGGCCTTTTCTCTGTGTACAACACCGGGGTGAAAGATTTAAGCTGATTTTTGTTTAAGCATGCAAATTATGTTAGACATTATAAACATCTGACCATGTTAAAGTGCCATACAATTATGCATGCAACATTAAACAGAAGCAAATCGAACGTTCATGCTTCATCAGTGACCACTCACGCAAACTTACCAAACACCTCCCTTCCAAATGCTGATCCTATTATACAGACACATCAGCTCATTTAGCATGGAAGGACTTAAAGCAAAAGCAAGGGAAAGGGGAAGCAACTGAAGAAGGTCATGCTTGTTTTAAAGGGGGGGAAAGCACGTAATTCTGCTGAAGGTCTCGTGAAAAGAATACCCACCAAGCGCAGGAGCCAGCCAGGAACTGAATGCCACCAGTGTCACAAGATCCATTGTACCTGTTTGGAAAAGTCAAACAAGATTGGGCTGTGTCAGGATGTGAAATCACAATAACAGGAAACAATAAATGTCTTAACCCGATTGTACACAGTTGTAAACCCCCCCCCCCAAAAAAAGACAACGGACAAACGCAATTCAACTGGATTAATAACACACAGTTTTACTTTTCGTGTCTTTATTCAAGACGCCAACTGATCCCTCACAGTGCAGGCTGAAAAAAAGTAACTCAAACAACTTTCTTTATTAGCAACAACCTCAATCAGATGCTAGCCTGGAGAAGGAGAGGTATGCACTGGAGAAAACAGGAAGAAATAACACATTTGTGTGAATGAAAGACAGACAAGTGGGATAAACAAATAATACCATTTTAAGCTACAGACAGTGGACAAGAGAGGTGAAGAAGAGAGTGCAGGCAAGTACTGATTTGGTGATATTATTAGACAAAGGATGTTAAAGATGGAGCTGCCAGGCAGGAGAAAAAGACAAAGTCCAAAGAGAATCTTTATGGGTGTAGTGAAGGTCATGCATAGGGTTGGTTGATAAAAGTGGATCCTAAGGACAGGGTAATATGGAGGCAAGGTAATCCGCTGTGGCGACCCCAAAGTGAGTAGCGGAAAGATGAAAAAGAAGAGCCTCAATCAGATGTTACCGGTAGCTGCTTATGAGATCGGGCAACAATCAAGAGGAATCTCGCAACGTTTTAGGAAGATTTTTGAAGCATTTTCCAGCTGGGGCACCTCTTTAATGAGTTTTCTAAAATTCTAAGAGTTGTCTTGATCAAGGCATAATTTACACATCTACATATTAGAAGAACAAATTCTACAACCCTCATTTCAGATCTCATCTCCTTAACAAGAACGTCTGATTCCAAGACGATTTGGGAGAACTGATTACAGCAGATGCTTTTACCAGCCTGGACTTTTAGCGAATGTTTTTGTGTTCAATTAAGGCAAGTGAAAGATAACTTTTTGTGTTTCCAAAACATGCTCCAAGTTCACAGATGGTGTTTTTGTAGAACTATAGAAGCAGCCTGCTTACAACTTTGTGTGGTTATGAAGAAGCTTAATTTAATCTGAATGACATCTTTCTTCATGAATATCTGACATCCTCTAGTCTAAAATAAATCAGCTGCTCACACTGTTCTGCTAACGGAGAATCAGCCACTTTCGATGAAGTTCAGAACTGTTTTCACAATAGTCTATGGTTAAACTGAACTGAGTTTCACGTGGAAAATCATTGACACCATGCCTGGTAGGGAGACAATGCTCTTTCTCAGCTAGATGCCACATAACAGGCTCATGAATGTTTTCTGTATGGGAGTCTTAATACATAGCGCCTTAAATCTGGGTAAGCGAAGAGGGTCTATTTCAAGCGCAGCCCCTCAGAATATGGAGCTCAGCAGTGGAGGGGTACCAGGCAAGCCTGGTGTTGAGTTGCACTTGATATTTGGTCAGTGGATTTGGACTGGTTTTGCTGGGTCATCTACTTTACAAGTGGAGCAAAACCTTGGGGGAAGCATTACGGTCTATATATTACCTAGTACACTGGGATTCTCTTACACCCATATGTGTAAGGTTATGTTTTAGGTTATGATCTCACCAGATCCCACCCTTCATGATTGGAAATGGGCTGAAGGTCCATTCAAGACAGTATATGAGGTGAAATTTTGTTTGCTTCACAGCCCTAATTACCAAGAAAAAAATACCAAAACAGGACAACAAAAAATGCAATGCAGGTACGCAAAGCTTAGCTCTGCAGTCATAGAAAATCTAAGCCATGAAATAACATCTTTTGCAATGCAAAGATCAAAGCCTATGTTAGCAGAGCCAATGGCTCTCTCCCTGGCCCAAAGCACTGATGGGGATTCATGCATGACTAGAGTGGGGGTGTGAACACGAGCCTGGAGCCTGGAGTGGAGAGAAATGAACACTTCAACCCTGGGAGCAGGATTAACAACAAAGGCCTGCCAATCAGGTTTAATCAAACAAATACAGGGTGAGTTATTCGAACAAGTGCCAATCCAATAATCTTGTTTGTTAGCCTTCTGAGTGATGGAGAGGAATATAATGGGGAGACAGGAAAGAAGCCCGTAGAGCAACACGTAAAATGAATTATAATGGGTTATAATAAAGTGGGATTAACACAGACTGTTTGCGATTAGGAATAGGAGCTTGTGTTTTACATTTCACTTGCATAAACCCGTTACGGGGTATATTTAGACTCCAAACAGACTGCATCACCATACTTCCAAGGAACAACACTTGAGGTTTTTTCCTTTCGTAGTTTATTCTGTGAGGTATAGTCTGAAAAACTATGATATTCTGACATCTGTGCGAGTTCTCAACAATTGAAGCCATTCAGATTGTTACAGATTAAGTGACATTTCACAAGTTGTTGGCCACAAACTCACGGCTCAGCGCAAAAACGAGCCCCCAGTGAACTTGGCACGTAGAAGTTAGAGCAAATTTATGAGCAGGGAAAAAAGGCTTTCATAGTGCACAGAAGCATTGCAGGTATATGCAAAGAACGCGTAGGCGTGAGAGAAGCATGAGCGATGGCTTATCTAATTAGACGGTCACATGGTGGACGCAGGCGTTTAGTTGGGGGTGGTGGTGGAAACAACGTTGGAGAAACCAAGTAGAAAGACGATATCTTTCTAAGAACATATCTACCAATCAAACGCTGCTGACACAGGGTCCTGTTTATATGCGTGCAGAATCTATTTAATATATTTGTACCTGCTTTAATATGAAAGTCGTGTTCAAGGAAACGCATTAATTTCAGCAGAGCACAAGTCAAAGTGAACTTACCGTATATCCGCCTCCTTGAAACTAATGTGAGTTGAGACTTTTCGCTCAGTGAGCTAAACTTTACTTGGAGGGGAGGAAAAAAAGTTTCCCTACGTTAAACACGCACAAAAAATAAATAAATAAAATGCATGCAAAACCTTCTATTATGCCTTGATTAAAAATGAAGCCGTCTGGGTTGCATTCTGTGTGGATCGTTCACCATTCCCGCCTGGACCAAGTCGGTTTCTCCTTGGTCTTGCCTCAGGAATGAAAGGGGGAGGGGGAGGCGGGGTGCCACTGAAGTTACTCCCAAAAATTACCCAGGACTGCCCCGCTCACAAGTAAACAACGCAGGCAGAGCTGGACTGCAGCGCTACTGTGAGAGGACATCATCATCATCATCATTATTATTCCCACGCTCTTTGTTGCCAGCGCCTCTTGTCAACATGTATTCCATAATGAACTATTAATCACGCTCATTTCTCCCCACTGGCAAATAATAGCCATAAACTGCACGGAACACAGTGAACTCTTTGTTCTGTGCTGCAATTTCCAGGCTTCAAAGAGAGGCTCGGTGCAATTAAGCAAATAAACACTAGATGGCCAGGACAGACTGTCACTGTTGCAGTTTTCTCTCAGCTACATGAAAACTTTGTTCGCGAGGTGTTTTTCCAAGTCAGAGTGCCAGCTTTCTGTCCCCTGACAGCAAAGCCTGGCCGGGGTGGAGGAAGGGCCCCCCTCCCTACTCTAAGGACCTTTAGTACATATAGGTTTCTTATAATGGCATTAGGTTAGCATTACTTCTATTACATGTGCAAAATGTCATGTTTTTCCAGTTTAAATTGATACAGGTAGAGCTTCTCTAGAGGAAACACGCGAAGAATCACAAACAAGCCACATACTGCAGAGAAAATATCTTTATTTAGTGGTCAGAACAATGTGTTTTTTTTTAATAACAGACACATATTAAAAAGTATTGCAAGACAGGCAAGACAGGCAAGACATAACGGGAAAGGAGATGGAATAATTTTCTCCCCCACTAGATGGAGATATTGGTCAAGAATGAGCTCCATGCCTCTTTCGCCCCTTTCTTTCCCTCTTTTTTCTAAACCCTGGGTAAACAATAGAAGGCACAATCACCAGGAAGCAACTTAAACTATTCCATGAATCAAGACGAGGTGCTGAAGCAGGTTGAGTAAATCTGTGAACAAGCGAGATTCTTCATCCTGTTTAAGAGGGGAAGAAACATGGACGTGAGCCACGGTGCAGCTGTTTCATTCATGAGCAAGCATCAGTTAATATCTGAACTTTATATTTTATTACCTGTTAACCAGATGCTTTTGTCGGCACAGGACCAGCATCTCTACAGGCCACTGCAATGAAAACAAAAGGGAAAATGAACTTATAAGGAGACTGGAGCAAAGGAAAGTCGTGTCCACTCGGGCACAGCGGAAATTACGTGTGATGACTTTGTACATGAAATTTGTGTTTTAAAAGAACTGAGGATTAGCACTTGTTCTTATTAGAGTTATTTTCTTGTGTTCTCTATGGACTTGTTGAAAAAAAAAGCCAAATAAACGACAACTCTGAATAACTCAAGTCAAGGGAGGAAAGAGACGGACAAAACTCTGCTCTCCAAAGAGGTGACTTAAGGCTAGGACACAAAACTAAACATGAGGGCTCAAATTAATATTGCACCCAGATGAGTCTTAAGTGTCCTTGGATGACAAGCAGTGATTGGATTGCAAGCTTGGTAGCTTTTGATGGCCATGCCTGTCAGCCTTACCTGCTTTTTAATCAGTAATTACCACAGGGGATTCTCTGGCATTTCTTAATTAAATTGGACCAAATGCAATTAAAAACCACACTCTCATTCCCTTAAAAGGGCTCTGTGGAGTCCTTGTTTAGTTCTTGCTGTTAAGAGAATAAGCGGTTGAATGGTCATAGCACCTTCCCATCTCTCGCTGATCTGTACTTGATTATTTCAGTGGTCAAATTAAGTTTGCAGTTTGCATAATACGGGGAAAGATAGCATTTAAGATTAAAAAAATAAACCCTCTAACATGGAGCCAAATAATTAAAAGTTAATATCTGGAGCTCTGGATCACTATGAGAGTAAGTAGTGAAGCGAAGGCTGATCCTGTCATAGCACTAAGTGTAGTACTATATCTTCCCCTTTAACCCCCATATATTTATACACAGGAAATGCTGCAATGTGTCTTTAAAGTACTCACCATCTGGAAAAGTCCCCAGCGCTCCAGGAGCCGACAACTACAGACACATCAGTTGTGATTTTTCCATCTGCTGTCGTCATGTCATCTTTGGAGTCGTTATTGTAGTTACCACAGGCGCCGCACATTTTACCAGACAGGCTACTGTGAATAATGACGGTGACCTCCTGAGAAATAGAGTAAGTGACCCGCACAGCGGACGCCCTCTCGATGATCAAAGCCCTCTCTGAGATTTGGACAGAGAGTGTGCTTGTCACTTTGCTGGGAAGAGACACTTTCCTGCCATTTACCTGAATGACACAGATAATGGAACATAACTGTTATTATTATGGTATAAAATGTCTATTATTATCTAATATAGTATAAAACTGAGCTCAAACCAATCACATTCAATTGTTGCATAAAAATGTTCTCACCCAGGTCACGTGTTCGCTGTTCACTGCCACGATGGTATCGCTGAAGAACACATACACACTGGCAACAGTGGGAGCTGCCCCCTTGTTGCAGACCCTAACGTCCACGACCACACGGAACCACAGCTCAGCGCTCTCGTCACACAGAGACGCCACTTGGAAAGCGCCCTGTGCTCCTATCGCGCCTGACATACCATCAAAGGAGCTTAGCTGGCCATCACGACTGACGACGCATTGGCCCTGCTTCAGGTGGCAACCCCTGACCCCGTCTCTGATATCGCAAACTTCCCCACTGGCACAGGACAGCTTTTCACACTTTACCATACCAGAGGCCTGGCACACACACTTTGACTTGCAGTCGTTGTCCACCAATTCTTGGCCCACCTGGGAAGAAGATGTTAAAAACTCATCATACAGAACTTGTCATAGCTCTATTCAGGTGTTAATTCAGTGACCAGAATATAGGGCTAGTCAGTTTTTACCATCAGATATCTGCCGTTGTACATACACCCACAGTCTTCCAGGACAACACACTGGACACCATTGAAAACGAAGCCATCATCACACTGGCATCCTTCAAAACAGCCCGGAAAACAACCAAACGGGGTAACAAAACTGGCACATGTCCCACTACAGGTGTCGGCACACAGCTCATAGTGACTGTGTGGAGGGCAGGATGCAGCTAGAAGAGAAAACAAGGGCAAAAAATTTGTGCCTGAAATACAGAGCACAGATGAATACATGAGCTAATCTTCAGCTAGAGACTGCTGTGTGTTACTTACGGCAGAAAGAGTTGCTCCTCCACTGCTGGATTTGAACTCCTGCACTCTGGCAGGCCAAAGCGTAAGCCTGCACACTGTTACACAGAGTGTCTTTGTTGCCCCCCACAGCACAAACATCAAACACACAATCCGACAGATATACTGCTGGGTCAATGACACTGTGGCAGGCTTTGAAAGGCCCATTAGGCGCACTGATGATGCCGCAGGAGTCGGATTTTCCATACAGGACAGCTTTGGCCTGCTCACATTCTGGGCACTGTCCTCCACAGCCTCCACATATATACCCAGGTAGGTCCACCGTCCATGCCATCCCAAATTCATCAACGTTTTTGGCTTGTTTGCCACCAGGAAGAATGAAATCATCACCACCGTTCTTGTTGTAGTTTCCACAAAGACCACACATCTTTCCCTGGTATGTAGAGGGAACAATCACCTCAACATAATACACAGTGTCATAGAGGACTGTCAGTCCAAAGGCTGTTCGAACAATTATGTTTCGACCTTCCTGGGTTATTTTGAGACGCCCATTCTCCAGGGATAGCGGAAGGTTTAGTAGTTCATCATCCACCTTAAAGATCGAGACAAAAAAAAAAAAAAAAAAGAAGAAGATCGAGACAAAAAATCATTTTTGGGGAAAAAAATGAGAAAAAATACAAGACATATCTACATAAGTATGTTTGATCAAGATAACAAACTCACAAAGACTTTCCAAGGCATTTTCTGCTGGATGTAAATGGCATAACCATAGACTGACACTGCCACTGACTTCGTCACAGCCACCTTTCCATTTCCAAACTTCTCATTCCCCTGAGTGACGGTGAACGGCGTCAGCTGACCTTTGTCATCATCACAAACCTTGGCCAGTACATAGACACAGGTACCCTGGAAATCAAACCTACGTCCATCAAAGGAAATGTAATGAGGATCACCGGAAGCTACACATTTGCCTTCCCCCTCTGGATAGCAGCCTTTCACTCCATTTACAAGCTTACAGATTTCTCCTGGACGGCACTTGGCCTTTTGACAAGACACAGCTCCATTGTCCCCACAAGTGCATTCCTCTGCGCACTTGTCTTCAGAATAGAAGACGTCTCCTTTTTGGTAGTACTGACCATCATAAGAGCACCCGCAGTCCTTCACAGGCACGCAGGTATCCCCGCTCAGGAGGTAGCCTTCGTCACACTCACAGCCTTCTGAACAATACCTGTGGCAGCTGGTAACGGGGGTTAAGCTTGCGCAGGTGGCTGGGCAACCCGTGGCACACAGGCTGTAATGGCTGTTAGCAGGACAAGCCATAGCTGTGGGATGGAATGAGAAGATGGGAAAGGAAAGAAGGTAAAAGGTAAAAGATATTTTGAAACAAGAGACTTAATAAAACAGGCCAAAAAAAAAAAAAAAATTCAAACTCACGACAGAAGCTTTCTGCTCTCCAGGAGTAGATGGTGACTCCAATGCTCTGACATGCAGAGGCATACACTTCCACAGCATCGCACACTGATCCATGGTGCCCTTGATATTGGCAAACGTCAAAAACACAGTCCTCCATGTAAGGAGCTGGGTCCACACGGCTATGGCAATCTTTAAAGGGCCCTGCCTTGTCTGCAATAATGCCACAGTACTTGTTGGCTTCATACACTTTCTTCTGGGAGTCTGAACAGGCTTGGCACCACGGCCCTTGGCAGACTGATGAGCAGCCTGGTACAATGGCCACCTGCCAGCTGTCCCCCAGCTGTCTTTCATTAGACGTGGTGTTGCCGTTGGGCATTGTCAGGTCATCCTGAGCTTTGTCATTGTAGTTACCACACAGGCCGCAGACTGCACCCTGGTAGGTGCTGGGCAGAGTAACGGTCACTGTGCTCTGCCAGTCAAAGGTCACCGTGATACCAGCAGCTGTCTCCACTACAGCTTTCCAGCCGCTGAGGGACACCATCAGCTCGTTATTGTAATTCAGTGGCAACAAAACAAGCTGCCCGTCGAGCTGAAAAGCAGAAAACGAGGGAAGGAGAAGGGAATATTTTTAGGAGCTTATAAATTTAATAATTTTGTGGCCCTTGCTAATCCACTCTAATGTGCAGTTAAATCTTGATTTAATTAAGTCTGCCAGGATCAAAATTTTAATATGCAATTAAAGACATATGCAGAAGAGCATGAGGGATGTCAGAATTAGTACAATGACAAAAGGCATTATCATCCAACGATTTGAGGCTCAGAGTATCTCTTCTGTTTTTTATTTTCAATAAAGCGACTACATGCTGTGCCCTATTTCCTTTTCTCCTCTAATAGCTGCACAAAATGCATTAGGCATTCAATATTTTATTACATCGCCTATATGCTTCACATTATCTACATCATCACTTACCAAGACTTTGTAAGGGTATTCTCTGCTTATGGTGAGAGTGATGCCATATATGGAAAATTTGACGGTGCTTGTGTAGGACACGGCCTTGCTTCCCCGGTGGTCATTCTGCACAGTCACCTTGAACGGCACCAGCCCAGGCTGCTGAGAGCAAAGCCCTGCCAGCTGATATACACACGTGCCTTGGAAATTATACCTGCGGCCATCAAAAGTGCGGTAGTGCGGGTCACCTGAGGCCGAGCAAGTGGCGTAACTAATGGGTCGGCAGGCGCGCTCTCCATCCACTACAGTACACTGCTCTTTGGCAGAGCAGGAAGCCTCACGGCATGCCACAATGCCCAGGGTCATATCACACTCGCACAGGCGATGGCAAGCTTCATCATCCCAGAACTGCTGTCCTGGTTTGTAGTAGCGACCCTGATATGAGCAACCACATGTTTTTGTAGGTACACAGACGCCGGCGCTGAGGACGTAACCCTCGTCACACACACAGGTCTCCACACAGGTCCCGCTGCAGACCTGCTTTTCTCCAGTTAATGGGCAGGATGGCTGACACGGGCTGGCGCAGTCTTCGTAGTGGCTGTTGCGCGGACAGTTCATCGCTGGTTATGAATTAAATAGAGACAATCAGAAAATAAGAACTACATATTTGATTTGAATCATTAGACGAAGAGTTTTTCAAATACTTACGACAGCCAAATTTTGTTCTCCAGTTCTTGATTATTATTCCTTCGTCACGACACTTATCACTGTAGGAGGCCAGAGCCTGGCACAGCATCTTTTTGTCCCCCTTGTTGTAACACATGTCATACACACAGTTGTTCATGAAGGCCTGGGGGTCCACCTTTTCATGACACTTCTGGAACACGCCGTTGGTCTTGTCCGCAAGAGCCCCACAGAACGCCTCGGTTTTATAGAGCTTAACATCGTCGTTGTCACAGGTAGGGCAGTTTTTCTCACATGTGTCCCAGCAAGGATGTTCCTTGTCCTGTTCAGGTGCTAGCCAGCTCTTGCCCCACTCAATGACTGAGGAAACTGGTTTGCCTGCTGGATTTAGCATTTCATCAAGAACATTAGCGTTGAAGTTGCCGCACAAACCACAGACCAAGCCAAAGTAGCTGCTGGGAAGCTTAATGACAAGGTACCAGTTCCAGTCATAGGAGACAACCAGACCAAAATCTGTCTCCACCTGTGCAGTGTTCCCTCTTTGTAACACTGAGACTTTACCATCACCCAAAAGTACAGGAAGATTCAGCAGCTCCCCGTCCACCTTTAAACAAAATGCACCAGAACAATGGATACACACATATATATATGTACTGTACACAAGCAAATGTCAAAAGTAAGCAGGCAAGAAACTGAAACTCACCATGACTTGACCAACTTGGTTCTTCTGGATGGTGATCTGGTAATCGTACACAAACACATCTACATTTCTGACGTAGGAAACTGCTGTGTTGCCTCTGTTGTCATTCCTCTCAGTGATCAAAAATGGAACTAGACCATCCAGTTCGCCGCACGTCTTAGAGATGACGTACTTGCAGGTCCCCTGGAAGTCATAGTTGTACCCATCAAATGTGTGGTAGTGAGGGTCGCCCCAGGCCCAGCAGGTGCCTGTGTATTTTGGGATGCACGTAGCCTCGCCCTTCTCAACTCGGCATGTCTCCTGTGCCCGACACTTGAGATCTTTGCAGGGATCTGCAATGGATAAATAAAGAATAATTTTCAAATAGCTGTTTAATTGAACCCTAATTATTCAAGTTACTGTATTTTTTTCATTTACCAGTAAAGATTTATCAAATGGGTAAATACAAAATACAGTGTTTGTGTCTTGCCTGTGTTGTAACATGCCCTGATTCCGTTCTTGACCATGCATTTGGTGTCTTGAGGACAGGAGTGCTTTTCACAGATGAGGCCTTTTCCTGGATTACATGTGCACTTTCTGTTACAGTCTTCCTCATACACAACATCACCAGGCTGGTGACACAGAACAAGGTTCGTTAAACATGGAAAAAAAAATACTCATTAGAAACTAGTGAGAAAACATTATTTTATGCCTAATCAGCAATTTAAACACTAAAAATTTAAGAGCAAATCAAAAACCATAAATCAAACATCGAAATGTCCACCACTCTAGAGAAAAAGCATTATTTCTATATCAGTATTTGTTAAAGCCACTTTGACACACAGAAAAACTATATTATTGTAATTCCTCAGTCATACCTTATAAGTTTTTCCATTCTCATAGCATCCACACTCAATCTCTTTAACACAAGTCTGTCCATTGAATAAGAAGCCAGCATCACAGTCACAGCCTTCTGTGCAGTTGGAGGGGCACTGAACAATCTCTGTGAGGCCAGCACAGGAGGCGGAGCAGGCTTCAGCACACACTTCGTAGTGACTGTTGATCGGGCATTTCATGGCTGAAATAAAGTATCACAAGAAAAGAGAAATTATTTTAGAGATGAAGCCAAAATAGTATTAAAAGGGTATAATAAAGATGAATTTGTGAACTTCACGACTTACGACAGAAGGAAGGCGTTCTCCAGTTTTTGACATCGGCTCCTACAGCGTGACAGTTAAAGGCGTAGGCTGCTACGCTGTCACAAAGCACCTTTCCATCACCATTGGAAGCACACAAATCAAACACACAGTCAGCAAAATATGGCTGAGGGTCCAAGATGCTATGGCAAACTGCAAAAGGCCCGTTGGGATTGGTCATTATACCACAGTAGGCGGACTTTGAAAACACTGCCTTGAGAGCTGGGTCACATTCAGGACAAGAATTCCCTTCGCAGCCATTTTCACACACAACATTGGGAATGGTGACCTTCCATGACTTTCCAAACTCATTCACGTTATTGGTAAGCCTACGATTGGGCATCTCGAAGTCATCGTTTCTGTCCCCGTTGTAGTTGCCGCACAGGCCACAGACCTTACCACGATAATTGCCAGGTACTGTGACTGTCACTTGATAGACCAGATCATAAGTGACAAGGAGCCCAAAATTGGTTGCAATAACGTAACGATTGCCTTCTTGATAAACTAGAATGGCTCCATCATTTAGTTTCATAGGAAGGTAGCTCAACACGCCATTTACCTAAAAGAAAGACATCTGTGTTAGTGCAAGAAATAACTCCACATCAACATTTGTATCTACATAAAATAAGTAATTACAAACTTCTTTAAAGCAGGCCAACTACTCACCAGGACTCCAAACATATTGTTCCTCATGATGAGAGTGAAGCCGTAGACCTCCACGGCAACCAGCTTGGTTACAGACACCACCTTTCTGTTCTTAACCCTGTCCCACTGCTCATTTTCTACCTGAACGGAAAAGTCCACCAAGTGGGTACCTTCCAGTCCACAACTCTTGGACAGTGTATAAGTGCAGGTCCCCTGGAAATCAAATTTTTTACCATCAAAAGTGAGGTAATGGGGGTCACCAGCAGCTTGGCATACACCCTTGCCAACAGGGTGGCATTTTTGGACACCATCTTCTATTTTACACTTCTCATTAGGGCCACATGTGAACTTCTTGCACTCAACCTAGGAAACAAACAAACAAACAAACAAAAAAAAATCCAACCAGGTCAGTAAAAAGCTTCATCTAAATGATTAATCTTTACTTTTCCCTCCTCTAGTTTCCTTTACCTCTCCTCCTTTTTTGCAATTGCACTCCTCCTCACATTGCCCATTGGGATAAAACACTTCTCCAGTTCGGTAGTAGCGGTTATTGTAAACGCAGCCGCACTCCGATAAGGGAACACATGCATCTCCGCTAAGGATGTAACCATCATCACAGGAACAGCCCTCCGCACACTGAGCTTGACAGCCTTTAGGAGGAGTCAGACTTTGGCAAGTCGCAGGACAGGCGATTGCACAAATTTCATAGTGGGTGTTGGTGGGACATTGCATCGCTGTATACAAGGGACATAAAAGAGCCAATTCAATTTAGAGCACAGAAGCAGGCAGCCATTAGAAAAGGTACATAAAACCAGAGGGAAAAGAAGAAAAATTCACTGAAGTGTGTAACATAAAAAACAAGACAAACACTGTTTATTCTACCTTTTCCTTTTTTCCAATTCATGAAAAATATACTTATTAATTAATTATTTTTCAATGGAAATTATTTATAAAATGAAAGCATTTCTCACCACAGAAGTGAACCGTTCTCCAGTTGTACACATTGGCCCCTGCAGCCTGACAGGCAGATGTGTATGCTGTAATAGCCTTACACAGCACGTCCTTCCTGCCCTTATATAAGCATACATCATAAACACAGTCTTCAAAAAAGCTAGCTGGATCAACCTTGGCGTGGCAGTCGCGGAATGGTCCTTTTGCATCTTTTACCACACCACAGAAATCATCTTTTTCATACTGAACTTTCTGATTAATGTCGCAGTCAGGACAGACCCCTTTACAGCCTTCGACACAACCCGGGATCTCAGCCACTCGCCAGCTGGTACCGAAATCTACTGGCGAAACGGGTGTTTTACCATTTTTCGGGATCAGGTCATCCTCAGGTTTGCCGTTGTAGTTGCCACAGAGGCCACAAACGGCACCCATGTAGTTGCTTGGCAGTGTTACAAACACGGCACTGTCCCAGTTAAAGGAAACTTTCAGGCCAAAATCAGTTGTGACGACTGCATACCAGCCACTCTTGTAGACAGATATCTTTCCCTCCTCCAGGGTGATAGGCAGATTGACCAGCTCGTTATTCACCTGAAGCCAAATGAAACATTCAGTTTGGTGAAAATAGGACCACAATTCACAGAATTAACATTGTCATATTAAACACTAGGTACTTCTTACCATAAGCTGGCCTTTGTGTGTCTTAGTAATGATAATGCTGAAGGAGTACACCTTGATCTCTACTAACCCGGTGTAGGCGACCACCTTGCTGCCCCGGTGATCATTCTGCACTAGGATTTCAAATGGCACTAACTCTGGGTCCTTGGAACAGAGTGCAACAAGCTGGTAGACACATGTGCCCTGGAAGTTAAATTTCTTCTTGTCAAAGGTCATATAATGGGGATCACCAGTGGCCTGGCAGGTGCTGAAAGACAATGCTTGGCACTTTCTTATGCCATCAACCACTTTGCACTCCTCCCCGGTCCTGCAGCCCTTTTCCTCGCACTGAACCTGTCTGCTTCCAGCTACACATTTACACCATTGCTTGCAGCCTTGGTCAGCCCAGAACGCCTCTCCGGGAGGAATATATCGACCCTCATAGGTACAGCCACACTGAGTAGCAGGAACACACTTATCTCCGCTTAAAACAAAGCCTGCTTTACAGGTACAGGTCTCCACACAAGGGCGTTTGCATTTGGAGGAAGCATTTGGGTCCGAACATGTGTCAGGACAGGCGCTGCCACAGAGCTCATATTGGCTGTTTGCTGGACATTTGGCAGCTTTAGTGAGAAAAAAAAGAATAATGTAATTAGTAATTCTAACAGTTAATGAAAAATAAATGTCGCTTAATTAAATTATTAACTTAGTTAACATTACTCACGACATTGTGCCTTCTTCCTCCACTCTTGAACCTGGACCCCAGCAATCTGACAAGCTTCAGCATAAGCCTCCACTGCACTGCAGAGGAAATGTCGCAGACCACCTCCCATGCATAAATCATATTTACAGTCCTCTATGTATGGTAGTGGGTCAATGATTTTATGACATTTGCTAAATAGGTCAAGTGCAATGATGCCACAAAACAAGTCACTCTCCCATGTTTTCATCAGGCTGCTTTCACAGTTATCCAACCCATCTGTACAGCCATCTCTGCACTGAGCTTCCCCAAGCCCTGGCACCTTCCAGCTCCTACCAAAGGCCAGAGCTCCACCTGCCTGTGCGCCAGAGGGTGTGGTGAAGTCGTCACTGGGATTTCCATTGAAGTTACCGCACAGTCCACAAGTCTTACTAGCATAACTGCTGCACAAAGTGACCACAAGCCGTTGTTCCCAATCATAACGGACTGTCAGACCAAAATCGGTCTCAATGAGCACAGAGCTTCCGCTCTTATGCATTCTCAGTTTGTCATTATTCAAGGTTACTGGCAAACTCCACAGAATATTGTCAATCTGCCCAAATGAAAGATGAAAAGAATTATTTACTACACTGCATTTTGATAAATATTATTTTGAAATAATAAATAATAATAAATAACAATAATAAATAATTAAAGACAAGAAGGCTTACCCTCACACGCCCAGTCTCGGACCGAACTACTGTGATGGTAACATCAAACACCTTCACTGTGACCATGGCAACATATGATACCTTGAGATTTCCTCTGTGCTCATTCTGGGCGAGGATCTCAAATGCAGGGAGACTATCACCCTTGTCACAGTTTTTAGAAATGACATATGTGCAGGTACCCATGAAGTTAAAGTGTCGTCCATCAAAAGTACGGTAGTGAGGATCTCCCACTGCCCAGCATGTTCCAGGATTTTTTTTTACTGGAACACAGGAGGGACGGCCATCCTTCATCTCACACATCTCATTGACCCTGCAGGTGATGCTGCTGCAGGACAGAGATGCACTTCCTGTTAAAAAAAACCAAAACAATAATTACTCACATCAGTCTGCTTAATAAATGTGAAATATTACTGGTGAAGGAGTGGGGGGAATGCTAAACATCAATACTGTGTGCTGCTTACCTGGCTGCACGCACTGTCCTAGGGACCCATAACCGTTCATCTGACTGAATCCTATACTGTAGAGAGCAAAAGGCGAACCTGAGCTGGACAGGGTGTGTTTGTTGTTGGTAGGGCTTTGGTTGTAGGATATTTCTGCCCAAGAGAACTCTGATCCTTCAATCTTTTTCCACTGCACATCACGAGGCAGCTCTGTATTATCCCAACGGAGTGTTGCTGCTGCACTGGTTTGTGCTACAACTAAAGCTTTGTTTTCAAACCCAGCTAGAGCCTCAAATGAGTAGGAAAAGCAGAAACGGTCCGTGGATATTACATTCGTCAAGAAAGGGTCGTAGTACAGTAACCAGCTATGTTCCACACCATTGAAGAGCAATAGGACCTGGATGCCATGATCAGCCTGAATGGACAGTGCGTCAGGATTGTGGTACTGGATCTCTATTGTCTGCCCTGTGCTCAAACTCAAATCATCTTTACGTTGGCCATTTTGGACAGTGACACTTGTGTTCTGGGAGGCCTGAAGGTAGACACTATCAAAATTCTTCTGGAAACTCAGGGGAGGCATGACGAAGCTTGTTCCCCAGCTGCTTACTGGCAGTAGATGCTCATAAACATGGTTGCATTTTGCGAATCTCCAGGTACAAGTGTGACCACTGAAAACGGCAACAGGGTGTTTGGAGGAAACTCTGGTGCCTGAAAGTTCATATGAACTCTGAAGCTGGACACTCTCATATGGCTTGAGGTTTAATACCATTTTGCTGTTTTGATCGTAGACACGGTTCTCAAACTTGATTGCCCCTTGTGGGAAGATCTCAACTTCTTGGGCCTCTTTTCCATTTGTCACAGAGAACTCTTTAAAGGTTGCATAGGGGGTTCCAGGAGGTGTAAAGATGAAATATTCTGTACCCCATTCACTGACCGGATAGATCACAGATGTATCTGCTGTGTACAGCTTGTAGTTGAAGGAGGTTACAGTCACATCTGCGGAGGCTTCAATACGCACTGTATTGGAAGACTTCGTGCTACCATACATTTCAACGCCATCGGGGAGACTGATGGTAACCACCTCTCCAGCATTTAAAGTTTTTTCTTGCTTGAAGCTTAAGGGAGGTACTTGCACTGTCACTTTAGTATTTGCCTGAATAGCAGTGATGTGGAGTTGATATTGGGGAGTGTCATAGTGCTGAAGATAATTCTGTAGGAAGGAAAGGGCAAACTCCCTCCCTGCCCATCCAGCGCTAGATGGACCTGGGAGAAGGTGAGAGAGCAGGAAAACAGCAAAAAAACACAGAGTAAGAGCTTTTCACATTCTCAGAAATGAAAAAGGCAGGCATCATCTTGTGCATGATGAAAATATGTCATGAAAGCGTCAGGAAATTAATGAGACAGTTTTTGCCAAAGCAGTCAAAGGATTCTCAGGCTGGCAATACAAAAACACGGCTTGAGAGTTCTTGGATAGCATACACATTACAAAGAAACAATATGACACCAAAGAGAGAGCGGCTGAAAAATGCCTCCATTTCAAAGTTACAAAGGCTGGGATGAATGCTACTCTATAATGAATGGATAGCTTCTTTCCTTGATAACAATTGTCAGAGATTTAGACGAAGGAATAGTCACTTGACTGCTTCTCTGGAGCACTCAATAAGTCACTTGCGCAGACAATATAATTGCATAATGGAAATATTATCAATATCTGCGCTTTTGCTGTGAAAAGACCACATTCTGGGCTCAGTCAGGGCCTGGGGGATTTAGATTACACTCCTGTTTCATCCATTCAGTTTTAATAGTGCCAACTCAATAGCAGCTAAAGGTAAATGCTATTTCCAACAAAAGCAAATTTCAATTTAGATGGCTATCCTTTATGTGCCGCACTCTCAAATTCTTTACCTGTTTAACATTCTGCCTCATTCACACAAACACCTAGTGTGGTTACACAACAATGCTTTCAAATCATGAGACTGGAATCTTGGATAAATTGCTTCAAATTGAGCAAAACAAAAACCCCAAAAAACCCCAAAAAACAAATTGAGCAGTTTCATTCTGCAAGGTTTGTGTGGTTTGTATCCTGAGATTCTTAGTTTTCATCCATTTTTACGAGGTAATAAATTTAAGGTGACTGGAATTAACACACAAAAAGAATATATAAGAATATATATATAGTTTTCTATGAACAATTGAGTGAATTGATTCTTTGCAAGAACTGAACTGATTTCCTGCTTTTATAGTAATATTTGAGCTGGCACAATGGACTTCTTTGAGAAGTAGAAAATTAATCAAGCATTCAACCACTAAAAATAATTTTTCTGTTCAGGAAAACAACTAAACTATAATTAGTAACTGTAATTTGGCATCATAGTAAAAAACAACAACATTTTTTTCAGCTGTTTTATAAGCATTTGAAAATTCATGGACAACAACAACAACAACAACAACAACTATATTTTAGAATTAAAAATATAATTGAAATCTACGTGGACACACATCTCGAATTGAGTTGAAGAAAAGAACAAATATATCCAAGCAAAATGAAGAATGACCAAATATACTTACAGCTGAGTAAAGCTGCCAAAGCGCAAAGTATCAACAGGGCTCCCATGGCTGAAGGAAAGAAATTCTTGTTTTAATTGCTGAAAGTTTTCTGAGTTATATTATTTAACCGGCCTGAAGCTTAAAGAGCCCAATGCTTACCTGCTTAGAGCAATGCTTGGGATGATAGGTCTTTCACCTCGATCTTTTTATAGCCTAATGGGCAAAAGCAACAACCAATAAAAAAACACGAAATGTCCACAACTCTATCAAAACAATACCCTTCCTCTAAAACAAATTTAGGCAGAACTTGGTTGACTTGCTGTTTGTTAATATGGGTGTAACGTCTAATACAAACTATAGGCCCATGTATGGAATGAATCATTTATATTTTACTGTGTGAGCGCACTTTGGTATGTTTTTAATGGTCTCTGATAAACTTTTATTAAAAAAGAAAGAAAGAAAGAAAAAAAAGTATGTTTTTTTTAAGTAACTCTTGTTCTCATTTTCTCTTACATAAATAATAAAACATAAAGCTTGAACCCATTTTACAAGTTTTCATCAAAATAAAATCTAGTGACACTCAATATCTAAACACTGAGAGATATAGGCTAATTTTATTATCAGCTGATATCCAGTTGTATATTCTGGTGTAACCAAACAATATAATCTGTTTTAGATTAGGAAAGGCACGAACCTGATAAGGCCAAAATCACTGCTTACCTTCAAAGTTACTCAGATCTCTTGATAATAGAACAACTTTGAACAATACAAAAGTACAGACAGTGTTTATATACTATTTTTTATTTTATTTTAATGTTGATTTCTGATGTTACAGTTGCTTTCTTATTTTTTACTCAGTTTATGTCTATAACAATGATCATAATCATCATCACAATGGCCAGAACATAAAGTGCAGTAACTGGCAATGATTCTTTCACATTGCTGTGGAGGAACCTTGTCCCACTGCTATCTGCTAAACTGTTGAAATCCAGCCATATGGGAGCATTTTCAAGCATTAACTGACAAAGCATTGTGATGGGATTTGAGTCCGGACTTTGACTGGGCCACTCCAAAACCTACATTTTATGTTTTTCAGAAGTGGACTGGCTTTTGTTTCAGATCAATGTCCTGCTGCATAGCCCAAGGGTGCTTCAAGGCACTAAATAAAGACTGGACACTACTTCAGGATTTTCTCATAGACTACAGAGTTCATAGTTCCATCAATTACGACAAAGCACCCAGATCCTGAAGAAGCAAAGTAGCCCCAGAACATCCATATTACTAACACAGTTTTTATGAATTGCTGTGTTAGTTTTCCATCAGATATAACAGGACTTAAACCTTCTGAAAAGTTCAGTGTTTGTCTCATCAATCCACAGAATATTGTTCTAAAAGTCTTGTGGATCATCAAGATCACTGGAGTCTCAAAGCCTTATAAATGGCCTTGCAACCCTTGATACATGTCAGTGACTTTGTTTTGTTTTTTCAGTTCATAGGATAATGTGTCCCTTTTTGAGCTCTTTTAACCTACTTCACTTTGTCAAACAGGCTCTATTTAAACGATTTATTGATTTCACATATCTGGCAGTAATAGGTGTGGCTAGTGAAAATTTTACAATTACTTTTTCGCACAGGGGCATATAGGTTTGGATAGCTTTTTTATTTTCTTTTTTTACATTATTAAATAAAGTCAACATTTAAAAACTGCATTTTCAACTAACATCAAAATTTATTTTTTATAAAATGTGACAAACCAAACAAAAAACTGATTTTTTTTTTTGCGGCACTGTATTTTTTGTTAAGATAAGCAGCTAAGAACACTTTTTCTTCATTTCTCAAATGAGACGTTCTGACCATGTCCAAACTGCTTCTGTCCACGACACCGTATACTTTAAGGAAGTTTCTCATGAATGATGTGTTCTTTGTAAAGCTTGCAGATTGGGTGGATGATCCCATGGAACTGAGTCAACAATTATTAAACTAACATTACTGTAATATGGATATAGCTGGGCGAAATGGGAGGTTTCTGTTGGTTTTGTGTGTCACTCAAAGAATAACAGTGGGCAGTGAAGGGTGCAACAATTATATGTGATAGAGCAAAAGTAAATATAACTCAGAGCTCAAAAGTGTACAGTAGAGTTTGTTAAAAAAAATCTAATACTCAAATATTTAATTGGTGATCAGGAGGTCTTGGGCAGGGTCAGAGAAAGCCTTGTTTCGTTATTATAGACATATTGTTGGACTGGGTATAGGTGCGCCCTCACTGTTTTTTCTTCTTTTTCAATAGACCTGTTTTAACACTACTGACAGGTCCTCTTTTTTGATAAATGTCTTGGGGTTCAACTGGTAACAGTAATTCCAATATTGTGTCAATATTAGATTATGGCAGACTACAAAGACATTCAGTGCATATGGCATCCAGTTTTGCTGCTATAAAAATGTTATTATGCTATTATATTAAGTAGGTAATATGATATGATTGTCGTGGAAAACAAAACATACCAGGTTGGAGAGTCATGAAGGAACCAGACCTGACAGAACTGAGAATTGAGGTACTTAGGATTTCTGGAGACAATACAGTCTTGGGACCTTTGATTAATCCTTCTTGACACCAAACTATTTGAGCAATGGGTTGCAAAAGTTGTTTTTTTTTTTTTTTTTTTAAAGCTTACATGTTTTTTATACCTTTTTATGTGTTTGAAATTTGGCCAGTTTTGACCTCATAAGTGGTTTATACTGAATATAAAACTACAGAGCTAATTAACATGTTGTCCACTTGTCCACAAAAAATATACACAGACATGATATGTCTGGTTTAGTTTTACAATTTCCTGAACCCCCGATTTTACCTCTATTTAACACATTGATGGATCTAAAATCCATCAAACTAGAGACAAATTTGACCAACAACAGCATCAGCGGGCAAAATTTAGTAGTACCTGTGCAAGAGTATAAAATATCATTTTTAAAAATGTTTTTGATTGAAAAGTCATCAAATTTCAGGCTGGAAGAATGACATTTAGGGTGTCTGTGAAGGTTCTCAATGGTCCAGGTCATCTGCGGTTATGTAGCTTGGAAAGAAAAGCGTCTGGATTTCTTTAAGTTGCTTGAAGGCGTTTCACCTCTCATCCGAGAAGCTTCTTCGGTTCTAAGTTCAAATGGTGGAGAGTCCCAGATTTAAGCCCTGTAGGAGTGTCCCCTAAGAAGGACATAGACCCCTATTGATCCTCTACCCAATCACACGAGCCAAGGTGTGAAAACGTATGAAGGTCACATTCAGCCAGGGTTTCAGGTGAACTCATTGTGAAACCTGGCCCCAGCCTATCATGCAATTTCCTGAGGTCAGATGGCCCAGGATGTGAGTGGGTGTTAAGGCATCTGGGAAGGGTTCTCAAAACTGGATTATAGATGGCAGACAGTTGGTGTCTTAAGCCACCGCCTCGGTTCAAAGATGGTCGTTCACAGTAGACACAGATGGCTTCTTTCACTTCTCTTTCAAACCATCTGTCCTCTCTGTCCAAAATATGAACATTGCCATCCACGAAAGAGTGACCTTTGTCCTTTAGATGCAGATAGACCGCCGAGTCTTGTTCCGCCAAGGCGACTCTTCTATGTTGTGCCATGCGTTTACAAAGTGGGTCTTTAGTCTTTCTTCAATGTACAGGTCTAAGTAATCCTCATTACACTGAACAGCATATACTATGTTGTTAAGTTTGTGTTTAGGAATTCTGTCTTTGGGATGAACCAGTATTTGTCTGAGTGTGTGAGTGTGTGGCTGGGTGTGAAGTACACTGGGATGTCGTGCTTGGAGAAGAATCTCCTGAGTTTTTCTGATAAACCGGCTACATAGGGGATGACAATGTTGTTGCGTTTGTCTTTCTGATCCTCCCTAGTTGGTGTCTGATCTCCACCATTTGACCTTAGAACTGAAAAAGCTTCTTGGATGAGAGGTTATTTAGGGTATGTTTACTAATGTCAAATGTCAAAACATGTTTCACCATTGAAAGGTTAAATATGTTTAGCAGCTAGGATAACAGAAAGTATTGCTGTTGTTTTGACTTGTTTTGCTATGACTATTTGCATATTACCATGCCAGCACTGACTATAACAACTACTACCCAGAGTTGGGCAGGTTTCATACAACAACCATGCAGTCATGAAACGTTACTGGTGTGCAGCCATGATCGGAATAAGAAACTTGTTTGAAGATGGGTGTGGTCTGAGTCAATTGATTGCAGAATGTCAACATGTGGATGGACGTTGAAGCCGGCATGTGTTCCCAACACAGAATAAAAGTTAGTTCGCTGATATCAAAATCCCCCCAAATAAGGCTCTGTATAGGTATGGAGCAATACGTGTACAGTGCCTTAATTTCAGGTGGCTGTGGCTCAGGTGGTAGTGTGGGTTGTCTACCGATTGGAAGGTTGGTGGATCAATCCCCATTCCATCCTATAGTCTATCTGTTAAAGTATCCATGGGAAAGATATTGAACCCTGAGTCTCCCTCGATGCATCCAGGTGTGTGTGTTTGTGAGTGATTAGATCAGTGAGAATTATAGTAGAAAGTCCTTTGAGGGTTCAAACTGAGTTGAATGATTTCATATAAATACCAGTCAATTTTGGTCATGGACTAATTGACGATCCATGCAAGACAATTTAAAACGATGGCAAATCTTTTAGAGAGATTCACTCCACATGGAGCTCCTGTGAGGGGCATCAGATTTCAGTTAAATGAGACAACATTCACAGAAATATGTTTTAACTTTAAAATGATGGTTTACAATTAAAAAAAGCATCTTTGTTCAGTGAAAAACCTTAGCACACTTTTAGAAATAATCTCATTCTATGCTAACAAGCCTGTAAATACATACAGCAACATATGTTTTCTGTACCATTGCTTTAAAAAAGTCCCTGTTTCTGCTGATCCAGCCAAAAACACCATGTACCTGAGTTTTTAGAATCAGAAATGTGACATAACGAGTTGCAAAAGTCTTTATAAAAGGCACCACGGTTTCATCTGTATTCCTGTGGCATGGCCGGCCGTACATGCGTCCAGTGCGGAGGTAATTTGACGCGCCACAGCACAAACGGCCCTGATGCACATAATAGTGTAAATATCACGCTCCACGCCACTGTTACAACGATGTTGCAATTCAGAACTACTCACCAACAGGATATCACATACTGTGC